GAGAGGACTTCTTGAAATCGTAGAATCGAATATTCTATTTATCTATCACATTTCATTGCGTATTCTGAGGACAAAATAGAAGAAAGAAATGAAGACCACTCTGATGAAAAAAATGTTTGTATTTTATTTTATTATAATTACAATATTTCACAAACTATTATGACTTACATAACTATGAATATTCCACTATAGTAGTAGTTGTTCACATGTCATCAAAGAAAGGATATTACTCTAGTAGTACTATAGTACTATAGTACTACTAGAGTAGAATTAGTATTATGACTTAATAATTATGAATGTTCTACTATAGTAGTTAGAGACACTTGTCTTAATAAGATGATCTGTATGAAAAAGAAAAATCATAGAACAAGAATTTGATAATAAAAAAACAGTAATGGCAGTTATAGTTGAAATAGCATTAGGTAAAAAAAAGAAAACCCTAACCTAACTAAATTAACATTTATAAAATGTATATCACAGCTATATGTACATCTATTTTAAGTCTTAGGAGGTAAAGATTGAAAAACGTAAATAATCATCAGAAAATACACCTCGCCCTTTTGCAATTGTAGTTTTCAAATGTGTCATAAAGAAGTATATAAAAAACCGATAGTTTTATCATATAGTTAGGTTTTGACAGACATGGCTCACTCAAAATTATTATTTGATAATCGATTTTTTTCATCCCTTAATGGAATTTTGTCTATCTTTCTGACATTAATCGATAACATTCGTTTACAATAATATTCCCACACACCCTGTATAAAACGGCGGATTTGTAAAAAGAGAATACAATGAGATATTTTTTTGTTAATCCTTTGCAGTGAAACGTTTGCAAAATTCGTTCAATATTCTCCTTTCTATCATTCACATGTCTTCAAAGGAAGGTTATCACTTTGGGATCATACGAGGGTGGTACCAGAAGTATCCGGCCTGACCTATAGATGGCGGTAGTTACTGTATTAAAAAGTACGTAATCTATAAAGCATGTGTTTCAAGTTTGAAGATAATGCGTTGTTTAGTATTTGTTTGGCAGCCATCAATAGCGCACGAAGTTAACAAATTAACGTTTGAATTATTACCTTATGCACCCTATTCGTCACATTTACCCCCTTGGATTATTTTCTATTCCCAAACTTGAAAAAATGGCACAGTGGTTAAATATTTCCCAACGATGAAAAAGTGATGACGGCAGCTAATGGTTATTTTGAGGTACAAGACAGTTCTTATTGAAAAAACTGTATCAAACTTATTGAACGTCGTTGAGCCGGATACTTCTAGAACCACCCTGGTAGAAACGTACTTTGAATGCTCAAAATTAATAAGCTCCAGGTTTGGATATTGTTCAGATGAACATCATCCGAGTGTCAGTTGCAACGTCCAATCAAAATAATATCCATTGTAGATTTCTGCATATCATTTTAGAAATTTCTATCAAGGTGTGCTTGAAACCGACTGATTATTATTCAGATTGAGAGATATGAAGGATATATTCACAATTTGTAGATTATCAAGTGATAATTCCTCGGCTGAGTGTCATTTTGAACGTAAACATTATTTTTCTATAAGACTTTTGAATGAGAAATTTTCTTGTACAAAATTTTGAATCATCTATTTAACAATCGTGAGTATCTTTTTGAAATATGTCCACAAAAATGAATTATCTGATGGAATTGGCCGATACCTGATAAAAATTCATAATTTATTCAAATAACAATTCGTTGTGAGATATTCTCTGAACAGTTTATAAAACCTGAACACGTGTTATTTTCTAGAGAAACACGTGTTGCGATTTTATAATCTGTCCAGTGATAATTTCACATTGAAATGTCACTTGAACAGGAATACATCATCTTCAATTCAGTTGTAGAAGTGAAGGTAGGAATTCATTTGTTCTCATGATAAATTTCGCGTTGATTATAGTGATTTCAAAAAGTTTGGTGTGTTTTCAATATATATTGGAAACTTATTTTTATAATTTTTGCAACGCTCTCCTCACTTCTTCCGTAGCTTTGGCCATATTCGTTGAAGAGTTTCTCAATTTGTATTCTTCTGTTCTATTTTCTTCATTGATGTAATCCTTAGGAGGTTCAGTTGGATAACTGTAATTACAGCAGCGCGCTCCACTGCCGAACTTGGGTCTGGGAATGTGGACTTTCTTTATGTCAACCAGCCAAGATTCCATTTTGCCGAAAGTTGTAGGTTGCTGAAACAAAAAATGGGTATCAGATGTGTGTACTTAAATGAAAAATTATGGACAACTTCAAGGTGTGCAGAATTCAGTTGAAAGACAAGACAGGAAGTATGTGTTTTCAAAAAAGTGAAATATTTCTGTGATTTATTGAGTATAGCCCCCCTTTCTATAGTTGATAACTGATATCATTTCCTCAAGACATAATCTCTGACGTTTGATATAGAATACGACTAAATTGGGAAAAATCATTATACACTAATCCACCTCACTCTCCCTAAAAGTATCCTCCACTGTTTGAGAATCTACGCCACTACCATCACACGAATGAAAATGAACCATGTTAATTTTCCTGCACATTTGGCAAAAATAGGCATTGCTCATGTGGCAATTTATCTTTAGCGACATGTACGCCTTTCTACTCAATATTGATAAAATCTCACATGACTTCTAAATCAGCGATAATGCTGAATTCTCATTAACTTAACTCATATCAAATTTCAAAAATGTATCAAATCTCCAATTTACAATTTTTTCATTTCTTTCAGAAAATCAATTTGTTTTGATGTTGAGAAGTAAATAATCAAAAGGAATAACTGCAAATATCTTTTGATTTTTTTTGTCCATTTCTGAAGACGGAGGCAGATTTTGGCTTCCGAAACGTAAAAAAGTTCGACGAAAAACTGATTTTCCTTCACAAAAAATGACTTGCGTTGAACTTTCTTATGTTTCTTAGTTCTGGGTTGCCTAGTTTGCTGATTATGAAGTGTGTCAATCGAATGAAATTCTAATTTTTTTGCTATTAATCGAAGTTATAAAATCGATTCATATAAAAATCAAAATCTGAAAATTCGATCACTCGAAAATTGATTTTTCCTCGACTTACTCTATGAGTTTGAATTTATGCCATATATGAGTGTAATTATAGAAAACATGGAAGATAGTGTAAATGTCATAGAAAAAGGAATCAGCAATTGTAGAAAATTCGAAGTCTGAAAAATCCATCTCTCGAAAATCAATTTTTTCTCGACTTACTATATAAGTTTGAATTTATGTCATATACGAGTGTAATTATAGAAAACATGGAAGATAGTGTAAATGTCATAGAAAAAGGACTCAACAATTGTAGAAAAATCGAAGTCTAAAACATCCATCACTGGAAAATCAAATTTTTCTTGATTCACTTTATAAGTTTGAATTTATGTCATATATAAGTGTAATTATAGGAAACATGGAAGACAGTGTAAATGCCATAGAAAAAAGAATCAACTATTGCAGAAAAATCGATCTCTCGAAAATCGATTTTTTCTCGACTTACTATATAAGTTTGAATTCATGTCATATATGCGTGTAATTATGGAAAACATGGAACACAGTGTAGGTGTCGTAGAAAAAGAAATCAACAATCGACTACTCACTTTTTATTAAGTACTAGTCTGTATCAAGCACTATGAAATATTCATTTATCTCTCTATTCAAAGTACATTGTAAAAACACTATTAGGGTCCAAGCAAGCAAATAATATCAATATTTACACCAAACCACAGATCACAATCTTGATTTTTGTGTATCTTCATCTTCCGTATTTAGGAGAACTGCGTCGAAAAAACTGAGTTCACGCCATCTAGCGAGTATGTGCGTAATTAAGTAGAAAGCAGTCCTTACATGTGTAAAGTAATCCAGCCATAAAATATTAGATAAGAAAAGATAAGATAATTTATTTCACCACGTAACATAATAAAATGTTTGTAGCAAGTCAAAAAATTGCATGAAAGTAATTTGTTAACTATCAAAATATTATAAAAACAAACGTTAAACACAAATACAAAAATATAAGAGAAAAATTGAGTATGTATGTTGACATTATAAACATTCAAAATCATTCACGTATTCCTCGACAGAATAGAAGCAAAAACTCATTGTTTTTTTGAATTTGGACAAACTAAGAATTTTGAAACTATCTGGAAGATAGTTGTAGAGGTTGAAATTCAGTGTGTTCTTTTGTGATTTACTCAAACGATAGCGGTATGTCCGAAATTTGTTACAATGTCTGGTATCATAGTCATAAATGTCTGATTGCGTGATTAATGAAGTTGATTTTTTATGAATTTCTAAGAGATTGCCGAGGCATTTTCCACCAGCACTACATAATTCAGTAGACTGACACAATAATCGGCACAATAATCAATTTTTGGATCGTATTGAAATGCATCATTTTCAGTCACTCTAGAACGCAATTCTGACATGCCAATACATACAACTATTATCATTTCCTATGTCTTTTCAATCATTAGTGCGGGTAGTTAATGACGTAAGGCAGGTCTTCTCAGCATTATTAAGTGGAAAAAATATTGCACGTAACTACGTAACTGTTTCACTAGTCACACTACGAAAAATAATAAATCGCAGCACTTTCACGGAGTCAAAGAGGAAATAAATGACCTACTTGTGTGTTTTTACTAAGAAAGATATATCAAGCTGAAAGCATATCTGTTTTGATAATAAACTAAAAGATAAATAGATAAATACAATCCTGATCATTCTCATATTGATCTCAATCTCGTGTGCATATATTTAAATATGAATGATCACTGTTGAGAGAAATACCAAAGATCTTTCAAAGTAACAGCAACATATCTACCATCACAATATTCCTACGCTAGATGGCGAACGTATATCCTGCCTTACACACCGCCCGAACATGTTCAGAATCATGTCTTATATATCAAATCTTTCACAGTTCTGGTTGAGGTGTCCCCTTGGTGAATCATGATGAATAATCAGCTGCCCTCACAGGCAGAATGTAACTGTATAAACCCGGCGTAGGGGTCAACCATAATCAATAATGTGGTTAACCCCCAGGATATTGGTTTTCCAATGTACTTTGGACTGGCCGACTCCTGCGATTATCTACAACTTAGAAATCGGGCGCACAATTTTGGAAGAGTCGGGACTGCGTATTACCAGTCCCGCTGTAATTAAATTAAACATAATCTTTCAAAACTAATTTTATAGTTCACATCAAATTATACCCTCATATTGACTAAATAATATAGTCACCGTAAAAGAAGTAAACACTATACGGTGATATAGCAATACAAAATACCAAAAATCTTTTGAAGTAACGACAGATATTTCATCACAATATTTCTTCGCTAGATGGCGCACTCATATACTACCTTGCATTCCGCCCGAAAATAACCAGGCTGATCACATGCGGTAGATTTTTACTTTTTCGGTAGATTTTCAGCACAAATTGAAAAATTGCAAAAGATGAATTTTCGCTGGTAGATTTGGATAAGACGCGTTGATGATATAATTTTCATTTCAATTTGAGTGGTGAGTGGCGACATCTACAGCAAATGGCATAAATTCATTGTTTCTAGGTTCTGCCCGCTTCGATACACAGAATACAAAATGGATACAGATCATAAAACATCCATTTCTCGATTGCTTGTTACTGTTCTCTAAATATCTCCGACCTGCAAATGAAGGAAGATGAAGATGATAATACATAACCTCATTTCACTTTTCGTTTTCAAACTTTGAAAGAATTCAAAGTTTCATTTCAAACATGGAAACATTTCTGTTTTTGAATCTTGAAATGTAATATTTCAAATAGTTTGAACGTTTAAAATAACCAACAACAATGAACCAACCAACTAGAGAACAACTTGCTGTTTCAAGTATTAGACTACGCCCGTTGGCCATACCCGTAAGAAGGTCAAGGCCTTCTAGATTCAGTCTTGCTATTCAAATGTCTGTACAAACGTCACCTGGTGGCCGAAAACTCAAATTTTCACTATTTTGGTGCTCTCCAAATATATTGCAGTAGATTTCAGTAGATTTTCAATGACCTGTAGGTAGATTTTTCAAATAAAATGAGGTCACGCTGATGCTAACTTAAAGTACCTGGCGCAGGGGACAACCATATTTAAGAAGGAATATGCATGAAAAATAAAATGGCCTGAATTTTTTTTCCTGAGCTTTTAAGATCCTAGTATTACACTCAATTCGTTATTTTCTAATTTAATATGTATTTAATTAAATTAATTGGCGCTCCGGGGCGACTTCATTGATTCCAGTGGCGCATTTGCTTTTTTAGCTATAATTCCGACGCGTAGCATGTTTATGGGGATAACTAGTTGATTTTTTCAGTTTTTATGCCGCACAACAGTAATATTTATAAAAACCAGCTGTCTGGGATCAAATATTCCAGATTCTGAATAAAGTAGATCGCTAAGGTAGTCGTAACCTTTCCGTAGGATATATCTGATAAATCTCTTCTGCATAAACTAATAATTCTACTATATTGAAACAGGAATATTCTTCAAAGCGATGAACTTACTTTTCCGAGAAGCGAAAGCTTTTTAGCTTTTCATTTCATTTCATTGAACAAAAAAAAAAGAGAATACAATAAAAACTTTATTCAAAGATGGGTAAATCGTGCTCAGATATAAACTAGAATGAAAAAACCTTTCACAAACTACTTTCACATGAACTTTGAATTAGTAAATATTACTAAAATACTCATTCGGAAATAATAGATGTTACCATAAGTGGCCAGTTTCATTAAGATGTATTAATTCAAAATGTAATTGAGTTCAATAGGATTTGACACACGCTTGTGACACATCTCATTACAACACCTCCAGACACAGAGCAGTAGAAAGTAACACTTTTTTTCGACCAACAATAGTGTGGGATATTTATTAGATGTGAAAGTGTCTCCGCCTTTTCCTGACTGCCCCAGAAAATTTCAAGTCTTTTGACAATACAACAATACGTTACAACAAGCAACCAGTTTTATAAAACTGCATATAATGGAACACTGGGTGGTCTGTAAAAGAAAACACATCATTAGTACCGAACAATGAAGTACTATTTTTAGGCCTTGTGGTGGTACTTTTTGCAGTTGTCAATGGTTTGAATTAGTACCTACGTTAGCTACGACACATATCTTCTGTCGGCTAAATTTAAAAATTTTTGAGACATTGTGATGAAAAGTTAGGTGCTGTTTTATAAAAGGTTTGAAACATTTTCATGAGTCTATTTGAAACTATAATATCCCTATAAATACTTATTAAACTTTATTGAAATGAAATCCATTTGATTAAGTGCACTTTTGAACTGATTCATTCCGATAAATTTCGTCAGTATAAAAATTGTGTGCTCGTGATTCGATAAAGTCAACAAAGGCCGTTTTTGGCTTGACCTGACCTTTTTCAATGCATTTTAAACCATCATTAGAGTATTATACGCAAACAACAAAGTATTCTTGACAAATAGTTTCCCAGATGGGCGATAATTGATGAAAAAATGGCCAAAAACCGTGAAGTGACTGGGAACCATACCATTAAAATTTATTGAAGATTATTCCCAGTTTACAAACAGGTAATATAATTTTTCAGGTTGACTCGTATATTACGTGTGTTTTACTGTAATTTTAGGAAATGGATAAACTTTTATCAGATATAACAGTTTGTCAAAAAACCCTTCAGAAATAAGTTTCCCATATGATGCATATTTTGGGGACGACACTGTATATAGGTCAATGTTTGAAAAAAGAAGATTTATTTTATTAAAATGCCTTGGAATATATTAAAAACTACAGAAATTACATTATATTTATCACACGTTGAATATTTGACCATCCGCTATACCGAATTATAATTAATTCGTGAGATTTAACGGTTAAACAATTATAATTTTTTCGACGATGAAAGTTTACATTTTGAATTATAATAACAACTGACAAAAAAAATATAGGAACGGAATGAGAACACTTAGTGTAGAATTTGATGTGATGAAACACATAAAAAAGAACAATGGTAAAGGTATCGACATATTTCGAGAGCTAAAAACTAGATAGAGAATAGATACCTTCGAGGGTCCTAAAAGTACCCCGCCCATCAAAGAAAACACAAACATTTTGGAAAAAAAATGTATCAATAAAAGTAATGTTTGTATTCAAAATGACACTGAGTCAAAGTATTTTCACTACAAATCGAGAATATATCCCACATCTCTCTCAATCTGAATAATAATCAGTCGGTTTCAGCCACACCTTGTTATAGATTTCCAAAATGATATGCAGAAATCTACAATGGATATCATTTTGACTTGACGTTGCAACTGACACTTGAATGATGTTCGTCTAAACCTCATAATAAACTGATCAATTTTGAGCATTTAAAGAACGTTTCTACAAGGGTGGCCCAACAAAAGAAACACAAAAATTTTGGAAAGAAAGTATTTGTTTTTCAATATAATCTCCTTGCAGCTATATACACTTTACCTAGCTACGTTTTTGTATTAAGAATTATTTTGAAATTGAGAATCTCAATTCGCTGTCCTTATTCAAAAGACGAGCCAAGAAATGAATTAATATTCAAACATACAAATGAGATACACTGTTCAATAGGTCTCAAAAACGCAAATTGAAATGTTTCCATGTTCTAAAGTTGTATCTAGTCATTCGGTATTTAATATATGCACATATACAGGGCTTTTCATGATGAGGGTTAATTAGCCGTTTCTGACAAACTATTTAACGGATCAACCTCAAAATTTTGCAGTATGCATAAATCAATATGACCTACACGCCTAAAATATTTCAGACGAAGCGGCGTTGTTGCTTCTACTATAAAGTAGCGGCTTCTTTGAATTTTCAAATGGAACACCCCGTATATAATATCACATTATGATTCATTATCACTGTGTCAACGAATTCATATACTATTTCTCTATACCTATCTGTTACCGTTTAGAAGATATAAATTAATTTCGATATTTTTTTTTCACCAAACATGAACTTTTATAAATGCTGATAATCTTGAACTCTCTTGCACTAAAACGATCAAATTTGAAATGGAGTGAAGTGATACTATGAGGATCTCCACTCCAAGTCATATTTTCATTTGCCTCATACAGGGTCTTCAAAAAATGCAGATACTTTGATCTCATGAAAAAATGAGTAGAACTCAATTTTTTGTTCGCTTTTTGAAAATAACTATTACAAAAAATAACTTATTTGCACGAAATTCGGTACCCCGGGTTTTTTTGACGTGGAGGCAAAATCTGGCGAATAGAGTGCATGATGTAGCAATTCAAACTTTAATTCGTTAATTTTGGTCATTGCGATAATAGATTTGTGAGCTGGTGCATTGTCTTGATGAAACAACACATTTTTCTTAGTCAAATGCGGCCTTCCTACTTAATTCCTTCACTAAAACTTTGCAATAAGGTCGCATAATACTCGCCGTTGATGGTTTTACTTTTTTTAAAGATAATAGCTTGAAATTATCCCAATAGATGACCAATTTTCTCCATTTTCATTTTCACAAATTCACCGAAAGCGTTCGCCAAACAAATACTAAACAGGGCAGCGTCTCCAAACATGAATTATATGCTTTATAGATTGTGTACTTTCTAATACTGTTGAAACAACTACCGCCATCTTTAGGTCAGGCGGAGTACTTCGGGGACCACTCTCGTATATAAAGAAGAAAGTGAGTCAGTAAAGAAAGATTATAACAAGGTAGAGGGGACGAGTCTGTGCAAAAAATGTATAATTGACAACTACCTCAATAACAAGTAAAGAAAATAGCGTCAAAGAAAGACAAACGTCAAATAAATTGAATACATTTGAATTCAGGTCAAATTCAAAACAGATTTCTCAGCTGAAGTACAAGTACAGATGTTATATGGATAGAATTATTTCTGAACTCTTTTTTGGAACAATCCCAAGGCTGCTTACCAATATACCAATTAATATAATTTTCACCAGTTTCGTTCCGGTACTAACCGTATTTCCTGAAAACAAGATTACCCGTTCAAGTTCAATTATCATCAATAGAGTGCACCGGTTTTATGTGACCATGTTTGGAAGGACCTACTTTAGCCGACTGACTTAATGAACCAGAGAACCAGTCAGTCAAGGTACTATTAATTTGGTACCGTTATGCTGTGAAA